GCCCCCACCCCCTCCCCTGGCCAGCCTGTTCCAGTGCCCGATAACACTTTCAGGGAAGAAATTTTTCCTAATATCTAATCTAAACTTCCCCCGATACAACTTCAGACCTCTTGTCCTATTGCTTGTTACTTGGGAGGAGACTGACACCCACCTCACTACAACCTCCTTTCAGGCAGAGGACAATAAGGTCGCTCCTCAGCCTCCTCTTCTCCAGACCAAACAATCCCAGTTCCCTCAGCTGCTCTTCATAAGACTTGTGCTCCAGACCCCTCACCAGCTTCGTTGCCCTTCTTTGGACACCCTCCAGCACCTCAACATCCTTCTTGTAGTGAGGGGCCCAAAACTGAACACAGTATTCGAGGTGCGGCCTCACCAGTGCTGAACACTGGGGAAGGATGACTTCCCTACTCCTGCTGGCCACACTATTTCTGATACAAGCCAGGATGCTGTTGGCCCTCTTGGCCACCTGGGCACACTGCTGGCTCATATTCAGCCAGATGTTGACCAGCACCCCCAGATTCCTCTCTGCCAAGCAGCTTTCCAGCCACTCATCCCCAAGCCTGTAGCATTGCATGCAGTTGTGACTGAAGTGCAGGACCTGGTACCTGGCCTTGTTGAACCTCATACAATTGGCCACAGCCCATCGATCCAGCCTCTTCAGGTCCCTCTGCACAGCCTTCCTGCCCTCAAGCAGATCAACACTTCCACCCAGCTCAGTGTCGTCTGCAAACTTGCTGAGGGTACACTCAGTCCCCTCGTAATGTTCAGTTCTTATCACTTGAATCATGTCTGTACTCCAGTCACAGACGCTGATGATTGTATCCCATCAGAGAGAGAGAGATCACAAGCTTGAATCTCCCACCTGTGCTTTCACAGTTTCTGTGAGACAATCTAGTAGTTCATTATAGCTGTACTTAAGGTCATATTCCACTTCATACCAATAATTCACTGAGGACACAAGAAAAAGGAAAAATATTTCTAAGGCTAGGATGTAATGATTTACAAAAACATTCATAGATAGTTTTACACAGTTCAGGTAGTACAGGCTTTTCCTTATTACTGACTGAACTTTGAAATGAGCAAATCTTTGACTACAGCCAAAAATAACGAAAGCAAACATTAGAGTTCTTTAATAGTGCTGCCAATGCAAGTCTGTCTTAACCCAAACCAACTCCTCTTCAGACTCTATACCGGTGATTACTTGGAGCAGAAGCTGGCAAAATGTTTAGGAACAGAAAATGCATGCTTCTATTTAGACAAAAAATACCAAACACAGCGGATAGGAACCTCTCTTCCTCTGAGTGCGTAAAGGATGGCAAACGCACCACTACTTCACAACAGTCATCAATCAGTGCTTTAATTCTGCTTCTCATTTTCATTTTGGTGTATGTCTCCTAGAAAAAATAAGCCAAGCAGTGTAATATTGTACTGGTGGTTCTTGGAGGAGGATATACTCGGGTTTCAGACATGCACTGGACCAGACCCAGAGAATATTGATTTTTCAAGTGTTTACAGACTAAAGGCCAAATAAACTCATCAACTCTTTAGCATTTCTGCTAGACAGAGAAAAGAAGAGTGGCCAGGGACTTGCAGCTGGAAACAGCTCTACTTTTTGTAAAAAAATCTTTAGGGACTGGTGCAGCAGTACTGGGAAAAGAGAATCAGAAATACTGCTTTATTGCTAGCTTGTCTTTCTGTCACAGTATCACAAATACTGAAAAAAAGGGCTTGCAATATTTGCAGTGTTACACAAATACTAATGTTATGTTGTTCAAAATATTGTATTTACCTGGAATAATCCTGTCTGCCAGGAAGAGTAAAGAACTGCAAAATCCTCTTTCTCAAACCTTGCAAAACTTACAGAATATAATGATAATTAATACTTTGCACCATCCCCACCCCCCCACCTGCACCAAATGAGCAATGATTGAAATTCTGGAACTCTCTTCAGGGAGGAAAAAAAAAAAAAAAGGTAGAGAGAGATGATGATAAGTCCTACAAAGACAGACATAACAAGACCTTTGATAAGTGCAAGGGAACAGTAACACAAGCATAGGCTTATTAGCAAGGTAGGAGACTGGATTGGAGCAGATTCGAGCTCACATGACAACAGAGTATCTTCCACGTTGTGTCTATATCCATACCTAAAACTCGTACACTTTCTGGTTTCTTTTTCTTCCCCCAGATCCTTTTTTGCCGATGTGATAACGGCACACACAACATGCAGTTCCTTTGTGAAAGGTATGTAGATGACCAATTTGCAGTTAGCAGGCTAGGCAGACAAGCTGCTTAGCTCCATGTTAGAAAAAGAAAACTGGACCATGATCACTGAATTAGCGATCCTTCTCCAGACTTGGTAACTTGAAAGACTTCTTCTGCTACATCCCTATCACTTGTCAACAATGCTATGAATTATAAGCAAAAGAGACTGCAAGGAGCTAGCCCCATGGCATCTGCCAAGATTGCTATTTCCTCCTGAGGGGAAGTAGATGATCTTAAAAGGACCTTTGGTCTCAGTTACGCTTTGCTGCAGCTGTTCTCTAGCTGCACACACACCACAGTTCAAAAACATCTAGAAATGCTTTGTATTTTACCTGCTATACAGCCATGTGATTGCTGAACATGATGGAACCAGAGAGAAGGGAGGTATATCTTCTCACCAGCTTTCACTGTACGCTGCACAGATTTTGCCTCAGCATACTCTGGATACTGTTCCGGATTCGGGTTCAATGGGTCTAGGGGAATCTAAAAGCAAAAGCGTATGTATATGGCAGTGACCCTGGCAAAAAATTCCAGCAACCTTCCAGAAAAACAACTGATAACCAAGCTTACTAGGTTACAAAACATGTATTTTGCCTATCAAAACACAAACAGCTACACAGCTTTCCACATTCAACAGGGAATAGGTCAAGGATGCAAAAATTTGCCTCCTTCAGTGAAGCACTTCTAATTAGGGAAAAGGTGCTGAATGTCAGCCGTGAAATTTCAGTCTTTCAAAACACCTCCAGCCCCTTAAAGTCACTTGTTCCTCCTACATTCAGTACTTGAGTATTTTACCTGCACCACTTTTTTTAGAAATTCTTTTCTTCTTCTAAAGCTCTCTGATCTAATTTTATTCCCACTAACTAAAACCTTCCTTTCCTGCTGGGAAATCTCTGTTGCCTGCATTCATTTCTTCTATGCCCTACAGAGGGGCATGTACCTCAGCACTCCACCTTACTGCGTTACAGGAATGCTCCCACGAGATTCCATGAGCACCACTCTGGAAACAGGAAAAAAGCCCCAGTTCAAATTCTGCTGTAGCATTTGTCACACATTGCAGAGGCAAAAGGAGCGAGACATTAGATACAAAAGGCTACTGAGCTTTTGTAAAGTGCCTCCAGATCTATACATTTTAATAGAGCAAATATTGCTACTACTAGGAAAACACAATTTATTCATTGAGACAGATATTTTTATTGCACTGGGTGATACTGCTGTAGAGCAAAACCTAGCCCTGAGCAGAGGGCAAAAAAGAAAGCAGAGGAGTCTATTTCAGTCTTAATAAAATCAATTCCGGTTTTGTCAATTCATTTAAAAGTCCTTTACTGTATCTATTTAAGTTTGATGCAAGGAAGACAGTTTATGATATCAATGGTTTCAGGTGTGCAGTAAAAAAATCTTTTCTAGAAGCTGGGTATCCTTTACGAATAGTAAAATACAGGTGAAATATTTGGGCATTCTCTTTTCAGTAACGAAGGATTTCTAAATATCAATCAATAAGCTCAGTTTGAGGGCTCAGGAGTGCCCAAAACTCTCTCTACTCTATTGATTGTGTTCATTATACACTTTCTACCTTACCTTCACACTCCTTGTCCACAATTTCAAATGAGCCATCTTCTGATACCTGGTAGGTTGCCGGCCAGTAGAGCTCTGGAACCACAGAAAGAATTAAATGACACAACTCAAGAGTACTCAGGGAAATTAATGGCAGGGCATGTCACACGTTGACCAAGGAAAAGAAAATTAAGATAAAACTATTTTCTACTTACTGTCCTCACTGTCCTTCCCTTTGTCAATTTCAATTTTTATCCAGTTTCTTAATTTACTTTTTTTTCTTTAAGTCAGTCTGAATACTGAACTGCCTTCCTGTTTGGAATGCCAGCCTTCTTTCTTCACAGGAATTAATCTCCCCAAACCCCATTTTACTCCTGGTCCTATTTTGTTCCAGTAACTGTCTTGTTTCCCTTTTGGAAGTTATAAATGCTTCCCTGGTTTACACATCGTTCCATATTCTGGCATTTCTTCTTAGGTCAGTCTAGCAAGATAGCACTCACAAGAGTTCCTAGTGACTTCTGGCCAGCCTTCACTTCTAATTTTATCTGATAGGGCTCATCAACTGCTTCAGATACTGCAGGTTCCTTTTCTTTCTTTGCTTCATCACATACGGTTTTCTAAGTCCTCCCTTGAGAGAGTTTCTCTCCATTAACCTGATGTTCAAAAAGATGGAGTCGTCTTTTTACTACAAACTATAAAATGTAAGCATTATCTCTGTTCTATGCTTTAACAGTAATTTGTTTTACAAGGTATGACTCATATGACATACGTGTATTTCATACATTCACATACATATGACACCACATCTCCTATGTAGAAAGGCTGAGACAGATGGGGTTGTTCAGTCTGGAGAAGAGAACGCTCTGGGGAAACCTTACCGAGGCCTTTCAATATATAAAGGGGGCTTATTAGAAGAAAGAGAAAGACTTTACCAGGGCCTGTAGCGACAGGACAAGGGGCAATGTTTTCAAACGGTGAGAGGGTAGATTTAGATTGCATACAAGGAAGACATTTCTTACGACGGATGTCGTCAGACACTGGAATAGGTTGCCCAGAGAAGTTGTGGATGACCCAGCATTAGAAGTGTTCATGGTCAGGTTGGACAGGGCTTTGAGCAACCTGATCTAGTGAACGGCAGGGGGGATGGACTAGGTGATCTTAAAGGTCCCTTCCAACCCAAACCATTCTATGATTCTATGATTTCAAGGTTGTAAACAAAATAAAACCAGTATAGATAAAATATTGTAGCAGCACAGATATCTAAGCAAAACGATATTAATGTCATACAGCACTCAGCATTCACTTAATCTGAAGGCTTGAAAGTCAAGAAACAGGAAAATAAAGTTTTATTTTATGAGCCATAAAGTTAAGCTGTTCATCTTCGAGATGACTCTAATATCTAGAAACATAACAACTATTACTGTGCACATGGGAAAGCAACACAAAGAAACAGAAAACAGGCAATGTGAAGCAATGCTGCCATAAAAATATCTTTTTTCATTTCTCCAGTTTTCAGAGATTCAGTTAGTAACTTGAATACTTCATCAGATTACAACTTATTTTTCAGCTTCCTGGCTCTTTTCCTAGAGAAAAGAATGAGCAGAATCCAAACATGTTAAACATCAAAGACGACATGCTACAATGCTGACAAGATACTTAAATAATTTAAGTATTCTAAGGCTGAAGAGACTGCCATGAGTATCAGTGAGTGAGCCTATTACTTTACAGGACTGGAAAACCTGACCTCAGAATAATGTTTGTATTACAAACTACCTGCAGCACGAAACAGAAGAGATTTCTCTTCACCCTGGAAAGCGTGACACTGCTTAACATCAAAACGCTATCTCTGCTTCCTTTTTCGTATCTTTCAATATTTTCGTCTCTCCACCTTCCAGCCTCCAGACGTACTGCATAGTAAATTATGTACCATATAGGATGAAGGGATGGTCAGTCGGTGGATGCAGTAGAAAATGTTTCTTTCCAGACATCACACAGTACAAGTTCTCAAAATCACCTGTATGTACTAGGTTTGAGAAAAAAAGAGATGTGGAGAAAGAGAGAAAATCAGTGTTATTTCCTTTTCTACATCAGAAACTAAAGTAAACTGAAAGTGTCAGCTTGTCCTCTTATTATCAGGCTGCTTCCTCCTCTTGTGGCCACTGGGGGTGGAAAATAACAGTATCATGTTGTGGCCAATGTATTCAATGAAGCAAATTGTCAGCCTGACACGCTGTCAGGTAGATGCACCCAGAGACAGAGCAGCAAGAGGCTGCAGAAATGCAGGAGACAGAATGCGAAAAAGCACGTTAAAGTAGAACTGCCTTGTCAGGAAAAAAAACCCAAAAACCAGTCCTACTGAGCCACTAACTCAAAACAAGCCCACTTAAACCTGTGCTGAAAGCACACAGAAGACTTAAAGCGCCATGCAATACATACAAGGTGTCCCAGCAGCTGATTCCCCAAGCAAGAAATTCATGTTATCAGGCTTCCTCCCTGTATGGGTAGGGAATAGAGAAATATTGTCAACAAAAAAAAGAATTTCAAGTGTTGTGTTTAAAAGCATTTTGAATAGTTTTCTGTCAAATTCTGTCCTTCAGTTTCCCTCATAACTATGGCAGGTTTCATTGCAAATAGCACACTGTGAGCAACAGCAACCTCCTTCTACACTGGAAGCCACTGTAGTGCCCATCAGGCATCGCAACATCCATCCCCAAATCAATGCTTACAACCCTTTGTTTCCACGTTCTGAATACCTAAGACTTAGCTCACAGGGAAATCGCAGCATGTCTACGCACAGTTGCAAAAAGAAGGTGAGATGACAGTAAATCATTTTCATTGTCGTTTTAAGGAAAAGACATGCTGTAAAATAGAAACCAAGTGAAGCAGAACAGCATTTAACTAGAACCAAACATCTGTAATTTTACCGAAGGGGGTGGGGGCCATTTGTTGTTTCGCTCATTTGTTACACTAGCTTTGGTAGCAACAGCATGAATCCTAGTTGAAACATGACTCTAAATCAGAGACAAGCCACTGTATGAACAGAAGTGCTATATGGCACTCTCAACACGTTGTTTCCGTTGTGATGGTCCCAATACACAACTGAGATACTGATTCTGGAGTAACCAAACCTTGGATTACTCTATTAACAAAGTATTTTACCACTTATGCTTTCTAAGGGGATGAAACCAAACCAAGCTGTGGCATCCAGAAACAGAACAAACATTCACCATGTACCTAGGGTGACTGTTTTAAAGCTCCATACAAAATATTTACTGAATATAGGTGAAATAGAAGGTTTATCAAGTGCCTCACTCATCCATGGTATGTCAGACCGCACATCCCAGACAAGTTCAGGGAACTCCTTGGTGAGGCTTGAACACTGCTTCTGCACATAGAATATGTTGGGAGAGGTCACTTTCTTCTCCACAATGTCCAAAAAGTCAATGAAAGGCAGCTGGCACTCCTCTGGCATGATAAAATGGTCCTGAAGCACTGCATCTGCATAACCATGTGGTGCTACTGTCACACTCACTACATTGGCACCTACTACTTCCCTGCAAAATAAATCAAAGGCTTAGAGCCAGACCTGCAATTGGCCCATGCATTGGACACTAGTTACTTTAAAAAGGACGTGTTTCACAGCCAGCAAAAATGAGAAGCTTGGCTTTTCACAGATGGGTGTCTCTAGACTAGATTTTCTACTGTCTGGAAAGGATTGGCATTCTACTCTGATTGCTCCCTGTGGTCAAGGCAACCGCAGTATCTTTCACCTCTCTAAATTCTCTTGTATCTAACAGGTGAGCCCATCAGAAAGGAGCTCCCTTTTCCTCCGTGCGGGCAGAGGGCCCTCTTCAGCCACTTCTTTTCATGAATCGTGGCAGAGCTTGATATTCTTGGGACCACTCAACCCTGCCATATGTTCAAAAGTGATCGAGGAGGAAGAAAGGGCAGACAGAGACTGACAGACACAGATGTCGTGAGGGTAACAGCCCTTATTTCTGTGAGAAATTTAATTTTAAACCCATAGATTTTAGGTCTAACCAGAAATCCCCTCTCAAAAAAGAACTTCAAAAAAATAATCATTGTTAAAACGGTCATTGTTCTTTTTAAGAAACCCAAGGTGTACTCAGTAACAGTCTGTTCTCACAGTGCTACACAGCCCCACTCCAGCTGAGAGGCTACAGGGCAGAGCACTGGCCAGAGCACAATGCTCGGGCTGAGTTTCGATAGCCCGAGCCTGTTGGCTGCACACAACCAAAACACCCACCCTTCCTACTGCATCAGAACCCGCCAGGACAGCATGTTTGCAGGGAGAAACCTACAGGTGAGTTTGGCAAGACTGAACACCTGAATGCAGCAGCATGGAGGAATCCGAGCTAATCTTACTGATAAAAACAACGATTAACAAAGGGCCTTTTACTGAGGTCAACCAAAACTGACCGTCAGCCCTGCTCCAAAGCTTGTTCATACCTGAGGTACGCTAAGGTCAGCCCCTGCCAGTGACTGACGGCATTCCGAATTGTACAGGGTTTATTCGGACTCACCCATTCTCAACACAACTCCAGCAGGGACAGAGGCCTGTCAAGATCGGGTACGGTCTCCATCCACGCCAGCTCTGTCTAGGCAAGAAACAGCTTTACTCAACGTCCTGTGAGAAGTGCCCTCGGCTAGCACACTGACTGGCCTCCAACCCCACCCCGCGGGCGCAAAGCAAGCAGTGTCCCCGTGTCCCGTCCCCAGCCCCCGGCTCCAGAAACAGCTCTGTTGAGAGCCAGAGGCTGTGAGGGAGGGTTCCGGTGCCAGACGGGTACCTCAGGCCGTCCCCTGCTCCTCTCCTCCCATCACCCACAGCTCATCCCACAGGCGGCCACGCCGCAGGCCCACCGGGCAGCGCGCATTAAGAACACACAGTACAGGAGGTGCACCCCCGACGCAGAGACGATACCACAGAAGATTTTTGGAAGCCGGCATTGTGCTTCTTTTTGCCACCTCGTTACATAGGAAAACAACTCACAGGGCCGTTTTCTCGGGTTTCATTTCCTTTTTGCAGCGGCCTTTTCTACTGCTGCTTCACCTTGGAAACGCTTGGCTGGGACCGGGTTCAAACCCACGCAGGTGCCACTTGCGGCT